AGAAGAAGAAGAAGAAGAAGAGTGGTACAAGATAACCAAAACCAACCCACACAGAGGGAAGAAACATGGTGAGAAATAGACCTAGCCAGTGATCCAGCGTCTGAGCTGAGAACCAAGGTGATACCAAGACCACGCAGGCAAGCAGGCAAGTACACTTTAAACTTCAGAACGAATCATCTCAAAACCTTCTTGTAAAAACCCTTTTACAAAGCCCTGAAGAAGTACCTATTCTAGGCACGGAATAACAGACAAATTGAACGACAGACCTCATTTCCACCCTCAAAGTCTCGAGCTTTGCTTCGCGATGAGGTATGTAGACAACCTCCTTCTCTTCTCAAAATCCCCTCACAATCTCTTTCTCTCCTCAAGATTTTCTCAAAGGTCTCTTCAAAGCCCTGAGGGTCTATTCACCTTCATCTCGCTCTCGGAGCTTTTTCAACATTTACCTCTTCAACTTTTCATCATAACCGTCTTACCGGTATCTCACCTTGGAATTCTTCCTTGGGTGACAATATGAGAATACTCCAACGACCTGAACAGGGCTTTGGGATCGGACGGATTTATCCCATCCCATCTATCCCTGCCATCTCTGCCATCCCATCTACACCTACCCCGGACGTCCGTCGCCAGACTTGGAACAGACTTGCTAAGACAACAGGAACAACGGGAACAAAAGGAGAAGTAAACAAACTGATAAGGAAGTCCCAGCAATGGTACCTATGATCGGACATGCCATGCCTAGCCTTCAGTTAACTACCTTTGGTTGTTTTGCCGGTAGGTATTGCGGAACACTCACCTCACCCAGGTGTTGCGATGCAAGGGAGGATTGAAAAAAAGGGATTAAATTATTTGAAGCTCTTGTATGCGTCGGTATCATACCAGGAAGCATATAACTGAGACCAACTCAACAAGCTGTTACCTACCTATAGCAAAGCAATCAGGACCATGGAATGTAAACTGTGTGTACTTCAAAATGGTATCATTGAGCTCTTCATTCTACAAAGAATTATACAAAGTCATCATCACACAACACAACACCCCCACATCCATCCTTACCCCCCTCTTTCTTCCTCCTTCTCAAATGGCAGTAGTCACTTAACCCTTATAAGGCTTGGGACCAACCATCAACTCGGGCTTCACCAGGGTATCAAACTCCTCCTCCGTCAACGCCTTGAGCTCAAGAGCAGACTGCTTGAGCGTAAGACCCTTCTTGTGCGCGTTCTTGGCGACCTTGGACGCCATATCGTAGCCAATCTTGGGGTTGAGGCAGGTAACCAGCATGAGAGACTCCTTCATGATGCTGGCAATCTTCTCCTCGTTGGCGGCGAGGCCGTGAACGAGGTTCTTCTCGAAAGAGCGCATGCCGTCGGCAAGGAGACGGACAGAGTGCAAGAAGTTGCGGATGATCAGGGGCTTGTAAACGTTGAGCTCGAACTGGCCGTTCATGCCGCCGATGGTGGCAGCAACGTGGTTGCCCATGACCTGGGCGCAGACCATGGTGAGGGCCTCGCACTGCGTGGGGTTGACCTTGCCGGGCATAATGGACGAGCCGGGCTCGTTCTCGGGCAGGTTGAGCTCGCC